AAACAGACAGACTTAGTTCGATTCAAAGAGATGCTTTACCTTACCTCAATCATCATTGAAAATGGGATAAAATTCTAAGGCTGAGTTGCACCACCTTAACTTTTATCGGTAACTACTTATAACTAACCTGTGTTTTTGTGTGAAGTTTGAAAGACTTGACGTTTGTTATCCTAGTTAAAGGTACTTATTATTATTCTGTGGTTAAAGTACTCGTAAGATGTTAAAACCTAGAGTAAAACAATCACTTCCCTGTGACAGATTTGAAAGCACGTTAAAATGACTCTACATAAGAGAGATGTAGTTAACTATATTTATCTACGAGTATATACAGTGGATACAGAATATACAGTGATAGTGAATTACCTATATTCCACGCAATCGTTTCCCTTCTTATCCATTCAGTCTCAGTCCACGCTCGCCTTGAAAGCGGCTCTCTAACATGACTCAGAAACAAGTCAATTTTAATCAGCTTGTCTTTACAAGTCAATTTTGTTTGAATAAGCTATGCATTTTAAATCAACTGAAACTTACAAGTTCATATTTAACGACATTTATTAATTGAAAACTCATAGTCAAAACCACTTTTGAGTTAACACTGTTTTTGACTAAAATCATCGGTCAAAACTGCTTTTGCCTGATGTTTGTACTCAATTAAAAATGGTTTTGTTTCACCGATTATGAGTTTTGACTTATACATATAACATTTAGAAACGGGTAGACAGAGTCAATGATTCGCAACTTATGTGTAACTCATCGATAAATTTGTGCTTGTATATTAACAGACCTATGGCCCAGTGGTTCGCGTACTAGTAACGCCATCTTTGTTTAAGTTTGAATAGCGATGGTTAGTGCTAAACTTATAAAGGTTGATCAGTTTGAAATTGCACTAAGCAACTGTGTGCTTAGTTCGAGTTTGCATAGAACGTCGTCGCTAGCGAGTGCGTTAAAAAAATCGATGAAGATTTTAGTTTTTGAAAGTATCTGCTAGGGACCCGTCCGAACGCTGTACAATCCCCGCCGGCTCAAGGGCTAAGGGCGGGGACTTATGCTATGTTCACCTCCTAACTAGTCTAAATAAAGTCCCGAGTCCGAAATTGTGTTCCGCGGATTTCTCTCTACACCGCCGTTAAAGCATTCATTGACTGTGTGCCTACCATGAGTTTACGTTAGGTGAGCTCGCTAGCGAATACGTCAAAAAATTCTATGAAGATTTTATTTCTTGAAAGTAGCCGCTAGGGGCGCTGCACAATATGTCATACATTTAAATGTCATTTTTTTACGCAGTCGCTAGCGAGCACACCTAACGTAAACTCATGGTAGGCACACTGGACTATAATGTCACTTTTTTACGCAGTCGATATCGAATGCATTTGACGTAAACTCACACTATGCCCCCAGTACTTTACCTTTTCATTATTTTTGGTAATCATTTTCATTATTGGTAACAATACTAGGTTTTGTTTTTGCATATAAACGACTCTGTCTAGACAATGATTCTCAACTTATGTGTACTCATCAAATTAAATTACCATATCCATTGGCCTAATCAAAGATCAACTTTGACCGCAAACTTTTCCGGTGTTGCAAGCCTAAGTCGCTTGCAGTGTGACGTAATACCGTTTAAAAATAACTTAACATTCGTCGATAGTTTGATCACCGTCTGAATGACCATGATGTTGTACGATGCTTCACAAGCGGTAGCGGGATAGTGAGCGGGATCGCCATAAGCGGCATTTTTAAAACGGATACAGTTTATCTGCGAAAGCTCATTTCCTAGCGATAAGATGTGATATGTTTCTAGTAATATCTGTTTTAAGGCGGTGATTGATGATTTTAATAAATCTGCCATTTATCACTCAAGAGAGAAGTCCAATTTGAACCATATCAGACGCCTATTCTGACTTAAGCCCCTTTATTAAGAAAAAGTTAAGCCCGCGATGAACACTGGTTTAAAATGACATTTCCATACCAAATATCAATTTAAACTATGTAGGTAGTGATCAACGCGAGTTCAACTTTTTGTAATAAAAGTCTATGATATTTTCTGTAACGTTTGCGCGGAAATAAAACTATCACTATTTCCCGTTACGTCTCCCGCTGCCGCTTATGTTAGGTCATACTCTTTATTTACCGGAACAGAACTCTACCATCATCATGACAGATAATGATCGGATTATACAGTAATCATGATTATTACGTCTACAATCATTAGGCTGGCCCGATCGACGTAACATGACATTTGATGGTCATCATCACTGATGATTGTATTAAAATAGAATACTTATACATACAATGCAAAAGAAAACTAGCTAATATTTTATTTCAGCCATAGTACTTCCACTGCTGAACATAGGCCTCCCCCAATAATTTCCATATCGCCCGGTTGGTAGCCAATATCCTGTATCCAGCGCCTTCCTGCTAGCTTTAAAAAAGAAAGAATAGTTTATTTGGCACTGAAAAAAACGAACAAGAAAAAATAGATAGAAAGAAAAGAGGTGTCTGTCCACCTTGTGAGTGAACGTCCTGAACATAGGCCTCCCCCAATGATTTCCATACTATTTGATAGCATCCTGTATCCAGCGCCTTCCTGCTAGCTATAAGAGGTCGTCAGTCCACCTTATGGATGGACGTCCTACAAATATTGCTGTTTAAGAGTAAATATTAAACAGTTTTCAGGGAATGCAATCATTATTTAGGACAGTCGCCATTTTTGTAATTTGAAATAAGTCTAAAAATACGCGTACTTTTAATTATAATGTACACTTGTATGCAACTACTACACGTACTTTCCGTAAGTGGACTGTGCAACTGTATCAAACACAAACTTCTATGTCTACGAGGGCGGTACTGAAAATTTCGGGAATCAAGGAAGTGAAACAACATTACTATTTAAAAATGTATTTATTGCTTTTTAAAGTATTCTCCGCGAAATTTGAGACATTTTTCCATACACGAAACCAATCATTGAAGCAACCATTGCATTCGGAAGTTTGGGTCTCCAAAATGTCCGTTTTGTAGGCGTCCACAGCTTCTTCAGGTGATGAAAATCTCTGACCACGCAATTTATTCTTTATTTTAGGGAAAGTATAGAAATCATTAGGGCTTAGGTCGNGTATTTGACTCATGCCAATGTCTAAAGTTGCCTGAATTTCGCGGTATATCACATGTCGATCTTCTTCAATCAGCTTACGCACAGCATCAACGTTTTCTTAGGTGACTGCAGTTTTTGGACGACCTTGACGGGGATCATCACTGAGCTTGACACGTCCACGTTGAAATTCAGGAAACCAGCGATAAATTGTGGTTTTGGATGGGGCTTCATTACCAAATGCAGAAATCATCCGGTCAACACACTGTTTTTATCTTAATCCACTTCAAAAGTCATAATAAATCATCGCTCTTGAATTTTCTCGAGTCAATTCCATTTTCTCAACGACTAAACAAGTTTGACAAGACTTTGTGATACGACCGAGAATCTTTTGTTAAATAAATAAATGGTATACGATTTTTAAAACCCTGGAGTTTGCAATTAAATAGATTTTAATATGACAGGAACAGTGGAAATATTCCATTCCCGATACTTTTAGTGCAGCCCTCGTATTAGACAGGCTGTGCTAATATTTAAGATATTGCTTACAACTTGTTGAAAGTTGTTGATAATATCAACAACTACTGACTGTTGATTGTGAGCTAGCGAAAGATAGAAAAGACAAAGCTACGAACTTGACAGTTGCGAGTAATTCCAAAATCACTCGCTCCACAAAGCGATTTCGAAAATTATAACTGTCACGATTGATTTGTTTGGACTCTAGGCGTTTGTAGTGGACAAACTGAGTTGCACCGTCTTACTTTAACTTTGACAAACGTCAAGACTGTCACAATAATTGATTTTGATAAGGCTGACAATGCGTTGTCATTTTCAAGCGAATTAAGTTTTTTTTTCGCACTAAAACAATTTTAATTCGACCAGTGTGTCTAGTAGTTTACTTGTTAGCATTAGCCACAAAATAAATTAATAATTATACACTTTAATAGTCGTTTCAAGTCTGCGCGCGCGCAGCGACATCGATTTAAATTATTTCAACGCAAAGAACGCTTGCTTTGTACAGTTAACCGCACACTGGCCTCTTACTCACTTGAAATAGGGGTGATTTTGCTATAATAAATGTATAGTCTGGTGCGGTCAACTGTACGTTATTCAACCGAGAGAATGTTAGCAGGAAAACGCGTTTTGTTGGTCGAAATAACTAGGTATTTCAGTTTTAAATAGACCTGAGATTATTCAAGGAAATATGTAAAGATATAGGTTGCTAATTGTATTTATTTATCCTATACATAATCTTTTAACTATCCAATAATGTTACAAAATAATGCAATAGTTCTCACATCGAAGTTGTTGCAACGATTTTGATATGGAAATTAAATCAAGGAATTGAAGAAGACAATCTTAAAAGACCTTGAATGGGTGAAAGTTCATAGTATCATTTCGTAACGGGATCTGCAAATTCTTGACCTAAACCTGCGACCTTTTGCTTGACAAATGATTATTCTGAGCAACCGAAACATGCAATATGATTTGATGACAAAATCATAACTTCAGTCATTGGCAACCCCCTAATTGCTGGACGAAAACCTCCCATAAGATGCACCACAAAGCACTATTGTCTCACCCAGTGGTTCTTAACCTTTAGTCACGAGGGACCGTTTTACCAAATTTCTGTCTTGTCAGGGACCACTTTTTTTTTTTCAAAATCCTATGAAAGGGGAGGTCGATTTGTCGCCCACTGTGCGCCGTTTGCATTGTGTTGACTCGACTCATCACATCACGTCACTTGTTTATTACGATGTCTTCGTGGACCACTTGGAATGCCTCCAGGGACCACCAGTGGTCCGCGGACCACCGGTTAAGAACCACTGGTCTAACCCTACCAGTTCTCAGGTCGTCTGTCCATCAAGCAGGGTCCTACACTCAAACTAATGAACAATTTCTCTTGTTACAGTGGATCACCCCTGAAGAATGCGCCGTGTACAGCAGGGAACAGCGGCCGCCTCTAGTCATCCCTCGCATCACCCAGTACCGCACTCCCAAGAGGGAAGTGAAGCAGCATTTGGGGCATTCTTACCAAGAGGTAATTATTAATTTTTAACTAAGCGTCACTGTCCACGGTGATGTAGAGTACTAGACGCGTATTGGTCCTTGCACGTTTGGTGAACGCCTGGTTGTGGCTTAAATACAATCAGAGGTGGAATTATGTAAATCAATAAAGATAAAGATAAAGATATTATAGCCTGACCAGGAACATAAAAACCCTGGCATAGAGGCGCTTCAATTGCATTTGATAGTGCAACACTGAGTACAGTCGTACCTGTGTTAAATTAATAGGCTAACTTTATGCATCAGGATTACGGGCTAATTTAATATTTTCATAAATTAACGAAAAAATATTATTATAGGTAACCTGGTTTAAATAAATTAAATGAAACCATCAATCGAGCTAGTAGGATTTATTTTATTATTCATCAATAATCAAATTCAGAACTTGAATATTAAACTGCAATGTCTGCTCATGAACGCTTCAAACTCGGTACTTCTTTCCCAATTCCATAAAATTCAACCCTTAGAAAGTGACACAAAACTTTAAAATAGGTNCGTTTTCTCCTCAACAAGCTACAACACCAAGCTCTCGCCACTGCTCCGAGGAACCGGTCTCAACCACCACAACCAGCGTTATTATTTCTGCGCTCCCCGCCCCTCTTCGTCTCGCTCCCCCGCTCGCGCTGCACCCCGCATCGCGCCGTGTCGGCGTACGGTATTCAGGGTCCGCACAGGGTTGCTACCCCATACCGTCCGGCACAACTTTTGAGTCAAAACTGTTTTTGACTAAGGGCATCGGTCATAACTACTTTTGCCTGATGTTTGTACTTAGTTAAAAATTGTTTTGTTTGACCGATTATAAGTTTTGACTTATATAACATTTATAAACGGGTAGACAGAGGCAATGATTCGCAACTTATGTGTAACTCATCGAAAAATTAGTGCTTGTATATTGGCCCAGTGGTTCGCGCACTAGTAACGCCATCTTTGTTTAAGTTTCAATAGCTATGGTTAGTGCTAAACTTATAAATGTTGATCATGTTTGAAATTGAGAGCAACTGTGTGCTTAGTTCGAGTTTGCATTGAACGTCGTCGCTAGCGAGTGCGTTAAAAAAATTGATGAAGATTTTAGTTCTTGAAAGTATCTGCTAGGACTACAATACGTCATTAATGTCACTTTTTTACGCAGTCGATATCGAATCCATTTGACGTAAACTCGCACTACGCCCCCAGTACATTATCTTTTCATTATTTTTGGTAATCATTTTCATTATTAGTAACAATAGGTTTTGTTTTTACATTAAACGACTAGACAGAGGCAATGATTCTCAACTTATGTGTACTCATCAAATTAAATTACCATATCCATTGACCTAATCAAACATCAACTTTGACCACAAGCTTTTCCGGTGTTGCAAGCCTAAGTTGCAGTTGACGTAACGCCGTTTAAAAATAACTTAACATTCGTCGATACTTTGATCACCGTCTGAATGACCATGATGTACGATGATTCACAAGCGGTAGCGGGAGAGTGAGCGGGATCGCCATAAGCGGCATTTTTAAAACGGATACAGTTTATCTGCGAAAGCTCATTTCCTAGCGATAAGATGTGATATGTTTCTAGTAATATCTGTTTTAAGGCGGTGATTGATGATTTTAATAAATCTGCCATTTATCACTCAAGAGAGAAGTCCAATTTGAACCATATCAGACGCCTATTCTGACTCAAGCCCCTTTATTAAGAAAAAGTTAATACCGCGATGAACACGTGTACTGCTTTAAAATTACATTTACATTTTATATACTGTACAATTTAGACTAGTGATCAACGCGAGTTTAACTTTTTGTAATAAAAGTCTATGATATTTTCTGTAACGTTTGCGCGGAAATAAAACTATCACTATTTCCCGTTACGTCTCCCGCTGCCGCTTATGTTAGGTCATACTCTTTATTTACCGGAACAGAACTCTACCATCATCATGACAGATAATGATCGGATTATACAGTAATCATGATTATTACGTCTACAATCATTAAGCTGGCCCGATCGACGTAACATGACATTTGATGGTCATCATCACTGATGATGATATTAAAATACAATGTAAAAGAAAATTAGCCAATATTTCAGCCATGGGACTTCCACTGCTGAACATAGGCCTCCCCCAACGATTTCCATAATATTTGGTAGCGTCCGTATCCAGCGCCTTCCTGATACCTTATGAGGTCGTCAGTCCATCTTATGGATGGACGTCCTACCGGATATATTGCTGTAAGAGTCAAAAATATCAAACAGTTTTCAGGGAATGCAATCATTATTTAGGACAGTCGCCATTTTTGTAATTTGAAATAAGTCTAAAAATACGCGTACTTTTAATTATAATGTACACTTGTATGTAACTACTACACGTACTTTCCGTAAGTGGACTGTGCAACTGTATCAAACACAAACTTCTATGTCTATTAGACAGGCTGTGCTAATATTTAAGATATTGCTTACAACTTGTTGAAAGTTGTTGATAATATCAACAACTACTGACTGTTGATTGTGAGCTAGCGAAAGATAGAAAAGACAAAGCTAATTCCAAAATCACTCGCTCCACGAAGCGATTTCGAAAATTATAACTGTCACGATTGATTTGTTTGGACTCTAGGCGTTTGTAGTGGACAAACTAATCCTGTGGGTCTAGTCAAAATGCCATCGCAAACCAATAGGAAGTTTTCACTAATGTCAGTCGCCGCGTCATCAGTAATTCGATTCGATCGGAAAATGGCAGCCAAAATGCACATTGAACCACCAACGACGCGGCGACATAAAAGTTCATTCAAAATCGAATAAAAGTTAAAAAATGTCTATGACTTTGCGATTGTTTTTACTTTCTTTTAGCTTTTTTTTTTTAATTAGTTTCTTCCTTCTTTCTGCTCTCTGTTTACGTCTATGCTTCGCTGTCAAATTAGCTGTCAAAACGACATCGCGATACGGATTTGTCAAAACAGCCTTAGGGTGGGTTGCACCATCTTAGTTTATCTTTGACAAACGTCTAAAATCTGTCAAACTCCATACAAAAAACACCGGTTAACGTCATAGTTACGGTCAAAGTTAGGTGGTGCAACTCACCCCATTGGTTTTTGATATAATCGAAGCTTATCACCGGGGTTTAAGTAATCGCAATGAAAATGGCGGGTGTTGCGATTCGATTCGATTTTGATTGAGTCTTAAATGCATGTTGGCTAAGCCTTTGTATGGGAAATTTCAATCCAGTCTTTCGATTATCGAAGATAAAGATAAAGATAAAGATATTTATTTACATAAACATGTGTGAAAACATATTACAAAGCAACATGATTTGGTCTTACAGTTTTAACAGGTGATAGGTACAACATGTTTTACCAAGATATTGGCATGTAAATGATATGTCAAGTAAGAATGTCAAATAATACATTAAAATTCATAATAACAATAGGTACATCTGATAATTGATAGTAAAATTAAAATTAAAATTAGTCAAATTTTGTCACTCAAGAAGTCTTGTACAGTATAATAGGCCTTGTCAATTAGAAAATGTTTAAGTTTCTTTTTAAACATAACATTATGTAATTGTTTCAAGTTTTCTGGGATTTTATTATATATTTTTGGTGCCATACAGTTATAATGTATACGTAGTAATATTACTTCAATGGGTTTTGGCCAAATGTAAGCAAAGACGGTCCCCACGGACAGTCAATCGTAATCATTTGACAGTGCGATAAAGTCAGTTAAACAAAGCGTTTGACAGAATAATCGTACGTTATGAACTGTCAAATGATAACGATTGCTTTACACAATTGCACCTCAAAATGGTTGTTGCGTCCAGCCTCTAGTGATCCCTCGCATCACCCAGTACCGCACTCCCAAGAGGGAAGTGAAGCAGCATTTGGGGCATTCTTACCAAGAGGTAATTTTCAAATATTTTGACGTTTAGTAGACCAGTTGCATGCAAACTTAGCGTCCGCGGTGACGTAGAGTACTTACTAAAGCCCAGTCGCCGAGCATGTAGAACTTCGTCCATTGACCCCAAGCTACCCATCCTTATCGCCCGCGCGTAATTATGTTGCTGTCGCGCTCGCAAACGTGTATTGGTCCTTGCACGTTTGGTAAACGCCTGCTTGCAGCTTAAATACAATCAAAATGTTTGTTGCGCCGTGGACAATAGCACAAAATGCAGCCTCTAGTGATCCCTCGCATCACCCAATACCGCACCCCTAAGAGGGAAGTGAAGCAGAATCTGGGGCACTCTTACCAAGAGGTAATTTTCAAATATTTTGACGTTTACTACTAGACCAGTTGCATGCAAACTTAGCGTCCGCGGTGACGTAAAGTACTTACTAGACGCGTCTTGGTCCTTGCACGTTCGGTGAACGCCTGCTTCCAGCTTTAATACTATCAAAATTGTTGTTGCGCCGTGGACAATAGCACAAAATGCAGCCTCTAGTGATCCCTCGCATCACCCAGTACCGCACCACTAAGAGGGAAGTAAAGCAGAATCTGGGGCACTCTTACCAAGAGGTAATGCTTTAAATATTTGCAAGTTAGTTCGTTTGTTTCAACCAAATGACGTCCACGGTTGGACAAAGGCCTCCCCCAAGGATTTTCACAATGACCAGTCCACCGTTACTCGCATCCAGGTATATTCCCGCGACTTTTACCAGATCTATAGATATGTAGAGTTTTCTTTCTTTTTTTGTCCATAACGAGGAAGCTCTTGGATTGCATCTTCCCTGAAGGAAAGTTATGATCAGCTCGCTTCCACCTTCGGCCTTAGAGGTAGTTAGAGGTAGGTCAGCCAGTTCATTACAAAGGTACTGGCTCTTACCTTTAACTGCCGGAATACAACAATGCTGTTAACATTGTTTTTATGGAGACAGACTTAATTTTAAAGGGTTACTTAAATCAGCAGTGTGCTTACCATGAGTTAACGTTAGGTGTGCTCGCTAGCGACTGCGTAAAAAAATGACATCAATTGTATGACATATTGTGCAGCGCCCCTAGCGGCT